TCTGCCCGCGAATAGATCAAGCAATAATGTCGATAATTATGTCAAATACAAATCCCGAGCTTGAGAGTTACAAACAAACATACATACATACATACATACAGGTCAAGCTAATAAAAGCGTGTTAATTGAAAAGACTCGACATTATATGTTGCAGAAAATTATCGCCATTTTCAACATCTTGTGGACTTCTCTATTCAATAAAAAATGTAGGCGTTATTGTTCATATTGAATTTTTTTTGAGTAAGTGAACGTAAGAAAATACATTTTTTTGTGGTTACAACAATTACTAAAACTTGGTATAATTTGTAAATATCTGTTTTGATATAAAAATGTAGTGAAAAGTTGAAACATTTCATACAAACGAAAAACTATTTGAAAAAGTTGAATTATGTCCGTTTGAAAATGAATGAAACTTGAACGGTTTTACCGAGCACCCTATATATTTTTTCCGAAAGTTGAGATTGCCAAAATTCTCATAGTGATGTTGACTAACTATTCCTTAAAAAACTCCACTTAATGGCTGTAGACATGTGGGTGGTGAATTAAAAAAAAATTGTCTGCAAAATAAGTTTTTCTGGAATAACTTGGCAGTGCCGCAATGGAAATTCGAAAACAAAAACTCCTTAGGGAGCTAAAAAAATATGGAATCGAATGACGTACTCATATACTGGGTGTTCCATTTTAAAAAAAGTAACTTTGATTGGCCAAGCTCCGCTGAATCACCCAGTATGCGAGAAAATAATTCAGCAATTCGAAAAATTATTATCCCTGGTAGCAATGGACCGAGGGAATCTTGTTGACTCACCCTGTATTGATCAAAATCGATACTGCTTCAATATTATTGACCATGTAACGGCCCGCTTTATTAATTTTTGTCGAATCACTTTTTCAGTATCAAAAAATGCCTAAAACGAAGGGACACGAAAATAATTTTTCATTCGCGATAAATTCTTGACAATCAACAATAATTTTCTTGCAAGTTGCTTTGTTAACTTTATGAAGGTTTCAATCACACTATTTTCTTTTAATCAACATCGGAAGAATATCTGATAGAAATGGCCGAAGAGTACCGATTGATTGACCCTCACATTCTCCAGATTTAACCCTTTCAGATTTATTTCAACGTAGATAACTTGAAACGGTTTATAAATCATTTAAACACCGTTTCCTCAGTTCCAGAAGCTTTGTAGTCGGTTAAACAATCCTTATGCATTCAATCGTGGGAAAACTGCCAAATCTTAATCTTTTTCATCGTTTTTATGCATCGGGGGAAGTATCAAAATTGAAGAGTTTCATTTATATATGAATGTTCAAACATTGTAACCATCAAACTTATTGTCTTCACATTTTTTGTACCGATCTCGGCAAAAAATTGATGATTGAAATGAAATGACCCCCATATTCTTCCGATTCCTCCCCTCCGGATTTATTTCAGTGGAAATAACTTGAAACTGTTTATAAATCATTAAAACACCATTTCGTCAGTACCAGAAGCTTTGTAGTCGGTTAAACAGACCTTATGCATTCAATCATGGGAAAACTGTCAATTCTTCAACTTTTCCATCGTTTTTATGCATCGAGAGAATTGTCAAAATTAAGGAGTACCGCTCACATGCGAATAATCAAAAGTTCAGGCGATCTCGTCAAAAAAATTATGATTTGGCAGGATACTTGATGATGTGAGTTATAAGCTGATTTTTACTGAAAGTAATCAGATATATCATGAGCAGAAAAACCTTTACAATATATCTCCTATTTGCTGTATCTAATAAATCTCTCGTTATCAGCGATATGTAACTTTCAGTAAAGATAAAGCCATTGTCAAAGATACGGTAATAAGTACTCTGTATAACACGCCTTTATATTTATATTATCAACAAATAAAAACCGATCCCTTCTCAAATATTTTTCACGTTTATGGAACAATACCCAAGACATTTTATTGTCGTGGCAACGCCGTCAAATTCAACGTACAGCTAAATATGGTTCAGTGATTGTTTTCATTGAGCATTCTATCCATATTAATCTACATTCCGGCATTCGTGGAATGTTTACATGATTATAATTGATGTAAACATTCTATTGTAATAGTTTCTCTTTTCATAGATATCAACTTCGTTAATGGTTCTTGCTGTTAATTGTTAGTTTTGGTTTGAAAGGAAAGGAATGTTCAAAAAATCGTTTCACAAATTTCGAAATACATGATAATTACTGTAATGGCTTCAATGAAAACATAAAATATAACAAGGTTACTTCGAAACTTTGCACAATCCATTGTTGAACATATTTTGGCAGAGATATTGTCGTGGCTATGCAAAATATTTTCCATGAAGCTTCTGACACCTGCATCACAACCCCAGAATATAATGTCAATATCTTCAACTACTACAAAATGGCGGAACTTTTAATAATTGCCTGCATGCAGTTTCTTCTAGGAAAAATCAATTGTGGAATCCTCTAGAGATTCACCTTCAGAAAAGTTAGAATTTGTTCATATAAATACAAGCGGTTGCTAATATGAAAAGAAGTTTGAAGCTGTCAGTTGTCAAAACACGGAATGCAAAATAGGAGTGCGGCAGAAGCTCAAATATTGTGTTCTGTAGGTTGACGTTTTGTACTCAGTGAAGTAGTGAAATAAATTTGTCGTTTCATGATACTGAGTGTCATTTACACAAGAAGCCACGAAAAAAAGTAATCTTTTCAGTAGTACCTCAATTAATTATGTTTCACCAGCTATAGCAGTTTGAATATTACAGAAGAACTACTACGACAATTATTGTTTTCAGATTATTATCGCGACCCGCCTACCATTTGTGACAAGTCATAACAAAATTACAAAAGTTTGAACACTTCAAGTTTTGAATTTATTACTACAACTATCAGGAGACGGTATAGGTCTTTTGTGCAACAGCTGTAGTTAGTGATTGTGAAAGGGTGAACCTATAAAAAAATAAAACAACGAGAACAGTCACTTTCAATCACGTCAAGAAGCTGTTGAAGCCTGCCAAAATTATATTTGGCAGGGTCAAAAAACTACTAAAGAATTGCTTTGAACGTACGCCAAATTAGGAATGTCAATCTCAAAGGCAAGAATTTAGAATAAAAATTAAACAATTCGAGAAGAAAGTATACTTTCTGTAAAATAAAACCATTTCTAGGTAGCAATATACCCATTTTCTATTACTGTGCCTAATCCCCTCATAATCGGCTCGACAAAGAATGTCTGCAGCTGGAAAATAAGTCCAGAACACAGACCAGAGTATTCGTTAATATAACAGGTAGAAACGGGTACAGCTGTTCAAAGAAAAGTTTTCAGTTTCATTAGAAACAGAGTCCTCTTTGTTCTCCTCCCCTTGCATAATAAACTTGTCTCTCTCTAGGGGTACATTCTCAGAATTCTGGAAGAATAGCTTCATAAGACCCATTCACAAATGAGAGGGTCAGGATAATGCAATAAATTACAAAGGCTTAGGCCTTAGATATTCCAAAAATATTATATTGCCTTGTTGCAGACAAAATACCCGAATGATTTTACAGTATGGAGTCTCTGAAGGCAAGTACACAAAGACTAATTTACTGATTTGTCAAAGAGACATTTCGACTGCTTTTGAAAAGCGGTGCCAAGTTATCACTTTTCCTACAGATTTCTCAAAATGCATTTAAAAAGGCAATCTCAAATTATTACTTACAAGTTATAATGTTTCGTTTCGGAGAAAGTGAAAGGAATTTGGTTAAAATAAATAACTGGGTGTCGTTTACAAAAAAAGTGAATTCTGGAGATCCACAGGGTAGTCACTGTGGTCTGTTACAATTCAACATTTTTATCAATGATCTACACTATGATCTACAAAACCTGAGGATTTCAAATTGTATCAAGGGATTCATTTTTCCCATGATTGCTTGAATCTTCAAAACTATTTGACTTTTTTGACTGACTGGTCAGGCAAGTGTGTTGTTATGAACTTTGATTATTTGAAAATGAATGATGAAATATGGAACTGGACCTCTGGCACAGTTTCCAAACTCCAAACTCACCCTGAGTAGAATTCAGTTCAGCTCTTATATTGGTTGGGCTCACGACTTTTAAATAAAAGTATTGTACCACATAACAATGACCAATTT